CAATATTAGCTTGTTATCTGATAGAACCTAAATAACACGAAATACCTTTTCTATCTTCTCAACCCAAAATTCAAGAACTTCATGCTCCACTTGACCAAAATATGTTGGTGGATTATGCCACATCACAATATCAATGAAACTCCTCTGTTGAGGCATCATCGCAGACATAAATTGCAGAAGAAATCCTGACTAAGTTCCTCTATCGGCACATGCTCTGGCACAAGATACTGTGACTCATCATACGAATGATCTAGTTATGGGCCTCGAATAGCCCTATGCAAACTACCACCTTGAGAATTCAGCATACTGTGCCCTAGCTTCCCTGATTCAACATCAACTCAGAAACACAACTAAAACAGGTATACAATCAAAATATAAAATACATAGACATGAATGCACCCACAAAACTTAAATCTCGTTAAACCAATTCAATAATCATATTATCATTATCATTACTATTTTCAAAACCTTTTTAATCCAAATAGCCAAAATCTATCAAACCTATGCTATGATACCAACTTGTAAAACTCCCAGTTGGCTCATATTGGAAATGCTACTGCTACACTGCATTATGAGGTCGTCACCTCCTACTTTGAGCCCCATAATACAGTGTTAAGGCTAAAATTAACAATAAAGATATCTTATTATTTAACACAATCCAATTTTTGAATATTTACAAAAATACACTCCTAAACAAGATATTTTTCTAGTTAGAAATTTGCATATAATACATCAGATGTAAGTTCACTCACTCAATCTGTCCTTGTTTATCCTGAAATGTCCCATGTCCCTGAGGTTCCATGTATACCTCAACCAAATATTATTTTAAAAGAATTTTAGATTAAATCTATTTTAAGAACTAATATAAAATATGTCATGTCATATTTTAAAATGAATTCTAATATGCGTCGTCATTCACAAAATAAGTGTCATGCTATGATATAGTGAAATAATACAACAATAGTATTAAACTCAATTGACCATCCACATATATATATATCTGCTGAAGCAAGTAGCCTATATACATCGGCTCCATAATAACAGGTTCACTTTATATGTTTAAATGAGCAGTCGAAATATCCTCGGCCCATAATAATAGGCTCACTGCATTTGTCTAAGTGAGCAGTCGTAATAACCTCGACCCTATAAAAATAGGTTTACTAGACCACCATCAATACATAGTCGAAAAACCCTTGGCTCAAATAAAGGACTTGATAAACTCATAATAATATAACGGTCATTCAGTCACTCGTATATACCCACCATACGACCCCCACAATCAATAGATGGATACCCTAGGATGTCACCATTAACCACAATATGTCCCATAGTCTGTGATAGTGAAGATAGGACCCTCTTGTCTAGTCCTATTCCGTGTAATGTAATAGTTACCATGCAACCTGAAATCCCCCAAGGGAAATCTGGAAACTCTACTCCTTCTCGTGCGCCCTAACAGAATTACGTTCGGAGTTTGGCACATGATCCTAAACAATCGGTAGACCTCACCAGTGGGCAGCCCAACAAGTAGAAAAACACCTATAACAAATGATTAAATCTAATATGTCTCAACTACAATGGGTTTAATACCTGAATGACTGTGCAACTAAGTCATTCAGTTGTCCGACTGCTATCATCCACTATCGCCATTGGTACATTAATATCGAATATCCTAACCCTAGAAGATGCCCTCACCTAGCACTACTGCACACGGAGACTAAACAATAGATTCATAAAACATATCCGATAAACCATGCAATATGTGTGCATCATGTCAAATAAATGAATTTACTGAAAAGTGATGGTGAGCAATTCACTTATCCTATTTTTCATAAATTTATCAACGCGATCAACTACGTATATCAAATATCATAAAATGTGATGTCTCACACATACATACGTACACATATATATTAATATATATACATGCACTTACAAAATTATCCACATGATATCACATTAACCATATAATCGTAATCATAATATCATATGCACATTATTGGGCTACAAAAAAAATTCAAATCTATGGTATCAGCTCATGAGCTCGCGAAGTCAAAATGGGCTCACAGAGTCAAAATGGGTGCCCGAAGATCTGGTGGCATGGTTCGGCAAGGCTGGAATACAAGTGTGTTGGGCTGATGGATTGTTTGCTTTCAAGCCAATTGATTGCTAAGTTGGGAGTTACAAATAGGACGGTTAGAGTGTCCGATAACTGATGAAGTGTGTGCACTTTGAAGCGACCGACTTGGGTTGTTGAAGGTTCGAGGTTAACCGTCAGGCAGTTGCCCTATGATCAGGTAACCGAATCAAACCGTCTGAAACCGGCATGGACGAATTGATACGGGTGAGGCACAGGAGCTAAGGGGACATCCAATTTCTCTTAACAGAGAAATTTTAGAATTTATCTTTCGTCTTTTGTTTTTCTCTTTTATCTAATCATCTGGTGCTTAGGGATTCATACATGATCTCAGGCACAACTCATCAAATTCGAAATCTATATTCAGATTTTACTTTATTTTTTTGAATTTCTCAAGGAAAAAAATTAGAGACCATAGTGGGAGAAGAAACAAGATTGCCAACCACACATCCCACAATAATTTTATTCGACTCCTATCCGGTCTGATTATTGAAAGGAGCCACATGACCGGCTCTCGGCCGCAAACCTCTAGTACGTCTTTGGGAAGCATGGTAGCTATACCGCCCACAATACCGTCTACAGGAGGCGCAACCCAAGTACCTTCCGAATGGGTAACCTATGTTCAACAATTGAACAACCAGCAAATAGCCACCATGCAAGCAATGTTGTGCGATCAACAAAATTTAATGCAAATATGTTGGATGAAGCTTTTTCAAGAGTCACATTTCAATCGGTTCCCGCACCATCAGAAATGTCCCCCTCTCGACTTCAGGCAAACTTCGTAGGACCATCTTAATTGAAAGCACGATCCCGAGCGTTACCATTCCAAGCAAAATTGATAGGGGGAAGTCGCCTCTCACCTACCCCAATAATGTTCCACTAGGAGCAAGAACTGACCCTTACCCGCCAGCCTATTTAAGGGAAGAGTGCATGGGGGGACAAGCCCATGATCCCATCCTCAAACATAACAACTCACCACATAAGGTTGACCCTGAAGATGTCACCCAGGTTCTCAGAGTGCATTTCAGGATGAATACTCAGGTGGCGAACCGTCTAGCATTTCAGAGGACTTTCACGGAGAGGATTGTCAATGAACACCCCCTCCCGAGGAATTACCGACCTCCTGACTTTAGCGTCTTTTCGGGAGAGGATGGTTTTTCTACAATCAAGCATGTGGGCCATTTTACGGCTCAACTTAGCGAGGTTGATAGCAATCCATATTACAAACTACAGTTGTCAGGCTTTCACTTACAAGGACAACATTCTCATGGTTTGCTAATTTGCCACCCGGACAAATCCAAACTTGGGAAGGATTGGAAGCTGCTTTCCATGACAAGTTTTTCAATCCCATTCCAACAGTATCACTGACTAATCTATTGGAAACAAGGCAGATGAACGAAGAGTGTGTATCCCAATTCATAGAACGCATTCAGTTGATGAAAGGGAAGTGCCCGACCATCATTGATGGGGGGAGATGACAAATTTAGTTGTTCGTAACATGCGTACCAGGCTGAGGGAAGCTCTGACGGTCCATGATATCTCGGATTCGGCACAACTTGCATCGAAGGCAGGGCGTTTAGAATCTTTATTCAAGGAAAAAGAACAAAGTCTAAGGAGAGGAAATTTCCAACAAATGGCTAGTATGGGAACGGACTCATACATCTCTGAGACAACCGACTGCAAGGGAATAGAAGAGATGACAGCCGAAATTGTCAAAATCTAGCATGAAATGCTGCTTCCAAACCTTCCTAGGTTCGGATTTGTTTGGCCAGAAGGTTAGCGAACCAAGAAAATGTTGTTCCAGTCAGGGATAGTCCAAACAATTGTAACTTATAAAAAAGATTGTTACCGATTTCCCCCAACTGAGCCGTGAAACGAACTACATGCTCAATGGTTGATGAACCCGTCTTCTCCCGAGAAGGCGTGGAAATCTGGTGGCCTATAATTTCTCGGGAGAGGGTGTTCATTGATAACCCTCTCTGGAAAGGGCCTTTGGTATGTTGGCTTGTTCACCGTTGAGGATTCATGCCAAAATGCACTCGTAGCAATTGAGCAATATCTTCTGGGTCCACCATGGGTGGATTATGATCCAAAACCGGAATGGGATTGTTGACCTGTCCTCCCATCCTTTCGTCCCCTCGGACATTGCTTGATCAATTCCCCTAGAACCCAACGGGATTGTGTTTGGGTATGTCAGGGCATTTTTCCTCTATCCCCTCTAATAGCAACACTTGGGATGGTGTTGTCTACGTAAGATGGCCCAGCAAATTTGCTAAAAAAAATTGTTTTCTACTACGGCCGGAAAATCGTAACAAACAACCATTTCTCGTGCAATTTGCGTATTTGCTACGCCTTCGTTACGACTTTTTTCCGTAATGTGTACTCGCGTAACGAATATTTTTTGCAACGCCATTTTTTGTAACTATTACTGTCGGTCAACACTCCTTAATGCAGGGTTTTTGTTACGCAGTTTGTTACGAATTTCCTCTCGTAACCAAATGCCGATCCTTCTGCGCGTGTGTCAGATCTTTTAGTTACGATATTTGTTATGAAAGGTCGTCACGTTACAAAAATGTTCCTGTGATCGCTTGTCATATTTGGTTTTTGTTACGAATATTTTTAACAACATTGAACCCGTAATAAAAAAATATACTTTCCTATAGTCACGGAACAACCTGAAACAACAAATATCCAAGGACCACTTTTTGTCACGGTATTTCATCCTTTTGTTACGGAAAAATAGCATGCTATGAAAAATAGTAGTTACACTGCAATTGAAACTGTGCGTAACAAAATGATCTGTTGTGATCTCCCCAATACCGAAAGAAATTCCGCATACACATAATGCTATAAACATCATCATTGGCAATACTTGCAAACATTAATTCATAGTAAATACATTAAACCCAACATTAAGGCACATGGACACCACAGTTTTTACTGGACAATCTCCATACCTAACAACAAAGAAAAGCAACCCATAAAAGAAGCCTAGCAAGCACTACACAGCAACATCCTGTTCCGCAAAATGTGCTTAACAGTTCAAACACCAAACCTAACAATAAGCAAGTGCGGATATCCATCAATCCATAACCACATCTTTCACCACACGAATTAAAACTCCAATGGTCTATGCATCCATTCCACATATAGTTCACACAACCTCAACATAATCCATCCAAAAATAGGTACGACATACAATCCATAAGACAAACGGGGCAACTAACATTGGTGAATCGGTAGATACGCTTCAGGGGCGGCGCATGAGCTGAAATTGCCAACAAAAAGATTAGTTTAAGTCATATTTCTTATAAATTTTGGAAGGCAATACAAGAAACGTATGAAAGTAGATTCGTACGTCCTTGTAGTTCCACTCAATAGGATCTTCACCAATGACATCGCGAAGGGTAGTCGCCCCAGCAATGGTCGGTGAAATAAGGGGTGTGTCCGGGGTTGAGGCGGATGTCACGAAGACCTTGACCAGAGAAAGTGTGTCACCTACAACATCCACAAGTCCAATTTTTGAGTATATTGAGTCGTATATATCAACAGACGTTCAAACTGTATGTATAACATGCCATAACACAGACATTAGAAGTGTAAACCTTTTCAACTAGAACAATACAAGTATATATATTCAGACATGTCGTACAATACATGGTATTATATCCATGAATTAGGTACCAAAGCACATTATATCCTAATTTCCTATGTGATTGCAGCTCGATCTATAAACCAATCATCCTCCAATAAACAAATATAAACCAGCAATATCATGTACAATATCAAATAAATTTTTTTTTTCCGAAGTTCTATATCCATATGGCAACCCCCAAATGAGGGCTCCATGTATGTGTTGTAGTAAACTCATCACTAACAAGAGATACACCTTGGCAGCAAGGGACTACATAGGATTTCAATAATAAAGTCAACTTTCAAAATTTTTGGGGAAAGTCATAGCGTACCCAAATAGTGTAATAGCAGCGTAGCCATAAACAATGTGATGTAAAAGATAAAAAATACTAGACCAGCACAGGAGTCGGCATAATACCACTGATTTTACTATCCCTATATTAACTGTGTACATAACACAAGCAAATTCACATATCGTAACATTGTACATGTCTAGACTCAAGAAAACCATGATCATTTGCAGTATGAGGCCTGAACGGTCACAAAACCTATGATCCCTCGCTGAGGCATATTAAAAGTTCCAAAAAAAACCTTAAAGACAATGGCACAAACCTGGCGCTGGGGGGCAAAGCAGAAGTCCCTCCGCAACAACTTTTTCTCACCGGTGCGGGATAATAGAAGCACACGCGTACCGACCTACAACAAAACATTACAGATGAATTGGAAACATACTAGGCTATCAAGAGTAGCCTAAATTAGGCACTGCACTGATTACTAAGAAACTTCAGGGTTTGACGGAATCATACCGTCAGACCTGGTCAGGACACAGGCCTGGGAAGCTCAGAGACTGAATCAATACGAGATGTGCCCTATCATTTATTACAGTGAAACTAAGAAGAAAATACAACGATGTGGATGCTAGAGATGAAGGATATGTAATGCTATTACGTCAAATTTAATATAATTAAGTAAATAATTACTTAATTACGAACATATTACATTACATGCAGTTCTTGCCTTATGTCCACACAAATATTAGAAGTGGCAAGCATATGTTTTACCATTGTAATTATGAAAGGCAAATCTGATGGAAATTCATTAAGTATGCACTTTGAGTTAATTTTCAATGCATAGATGTGTTTTGAAATGATGAAATTGAATATGTTATTCAATTGGTGCAGATCGATGAGGAGAGTTTCCTGTTCTGTAGGATAGAATTCATGGTGATGATGATTTTCAATCATGCCGAAAAGGAACATGGGTCCTCTCTATGTTGATTACGCCCCAAGTAGAAACCCTTTAAAACAAATATGAAATAATTCAGAAATCTAATGGAAAAAAAATGTTTCAGATTCATGGGAATGCACTTAACACTTCATTGCACCACCCACCCAATAAACAAACATCATAGAAAAGTTTCTACACAGTGGCATAGCGTCAAAAAAAAAGTAGACCTTTCGTTAAACTCAAAGGTAGGTATCCTGAATGAGCACAGCATGCCTGCGTTGACACATGGTCACTTCCTATAAGAAAAAACATAAGTTAAACATGCATTAATTTTCAATGAAAACGGCGCAAAGTACTACATTGATTAAACATGCACTAATTCACAATATGCATTCTCTCTTTTAGGACTGAATTAGAACCATATATACCTGTTGATGTAATTTTTCAACAAAAATAAAGTAAAATTCAAAGATATAGAAAATATCCTTAAACTTGATTAATTAGTGCCTGAGATTAGGAATCTCTAAACACTGTATGGTACAGAAAATAAACTGGAAAATAAAAGACTGAAATTTAAAGTGGTGATCCCCAAATCTGACTTTGCTTTGTTGAAGTTGATTGAAGATGCCTTTTCTGACGGATTTGAATCCTTTAAAATAGCCTTTCAGAGAAAACGGTTTGAACCGCCGTCTGGTCGGTTACAGCAACCGCTGTCAACCGACCACCAATTTCTCCTCTATTGACACGTATTACAACTTCCTTCAACCGTTCCCACCAGTCACAGAACTCAGACCTGCCTCTTACCCGACCTACCTGTCCACTGCCAAATTTCTTTTGCCCGACTTCGTCCTTCGCCCGACCTGCTTCTTCGCCCGACCTCACTTGGGCCGACCTCCGCATCAGCCGCCCTCCGTCTTTGACCGAAGACCTCCGCGTCTGTCCGTACCTCTTCCTTGCCCGACCTTCCTCTTGACAGACCTCCGCGTCTGCCCGACTTCGCCTTCCATCCGATCTACGGTTTACCCGACTTGGGTACACCTTTTTTTTTAGACTCCGCCCGACCTGAATACAGCCCGAACTGCTGATCACGGACAACCATCTCTTGGTAGTACCTGAGTCTGGATTTGGATCAATTCTTGAGATCTTACCTTTCTTCCTTTTCCCGACCTTTATTCTGCCCGACCTCCAGACCTTTTGGCTTTCATTCAGACCCTACCCAGAATCCTACTGCCACTTACTATTATTATTATTTTTTGTGCTTAACAATAAGCCTCCTCCTCAAGACTCCTAAACATCACTTCCAGTGATGTTTTAGGAGTTTGCAGGCCGGCATCCGAGGCTACGTCAGCCTCAGATCCGACCTCCATCCTTCGAGGCTACGTTGGACCCGACCTCCATTTATCGCGGAATGGTGCTGGTCTGGACGTTGGTCGATCTTGCACTAACATTGCTTCAGCATCTCCCCCCTGACGGAAGTCATGATTATTTTCTGTAAAAAAGGATTCTAACCTTCTTGCCGTGGATGCTAAACTGGCCAGATCTTGAAAGTCGTGGGCTGTCAGGGCCTCGCGAAGTCTGGTATGCATGTTCCTGACCACCAAATTGGTCATTTCGCTTTCATTGATCATCGTAGGACATCGTCCCTTCATCAATCGCATCCTCTCTATGAATTGGTAGCCGGTCTCTTCCGGCATCTGCGTGATCTCCAGAAGGTCTATCAGTGAGACTGTCGGCAGAGGATTAAAGAACCTTCCATGAAAATCTGCCTCTAAATCTTCCCAAGTTTGCAACTGTCCAGGCGGCAGACTGACATACCAAGAAAAAGCTGTTCTTGTGAGCGACAACCCAAACAATTGTAACTTGTGAAACGGATTGTTGCCTACTTCTCCCAATTGAGCCGTGAAGCGACCCACATGCTCAATGGTAGAGGCTCCGTCTTCTCCCGAAAAAGAATAGAAGTCTGGTGGCCTATAATTTCTCGGGAGAGGATGATCGTTAATGATCCTTTCTGGAAATGGCCTCTGGTAAACCGGCCTGTTCACCGTTTGCGGATTCATTCCGAAATGCACCCGCAGAACTTGAGCAATATCCTTCGGATCTACTCTGGGTGGAATATGGTCGAACACTGGAATGTGATCGTGAGTCTGACCTCCCAATCTTTCTTCTCTGGAGAAGGCTGGTTCGGCTGGGATGGGATTATGAGTCTGTCCCTCCAACCTTTCTTCTCTAGAGAAGGCTGGTTCGGTTGGAATGGGATTATGAGTCTGTCCTCCTAATCTCTCATTCGGCTGGGTATTATCAACCCTCGGTCCCAAAGGAACATTATCTGGGAAAGTTAGAGGAATCTTCCCCATATCTGTTCGGTTGAAAGTTGTGACGCTTGGAAACGTACTGTCAACGTACGTTGGCCCTGCAAACGTTGATCCTGGAAAAATCGCCTGAAAACGAGCAAGTGACACGGCTGGAAGCATGTTTGGATACAGGGTGAATCTGGAGAATGCCTGATCCACCATGTTCTGTATTAGATTTTGTTGTTCACGCAACATGTTCGTTTGTTGCTCACGCAACATGTTCTGCATAACCAAAGTTTGCTGGTTGTTCATTTGTTGAACATAAGACAACCAATCGGTAGGTGGTGGGGGAATCTCCCATGGATTTGGCATGACTGGTGGTGAAACATTCTCTCCCACCGGTGTTGATGATGATTGAGGTTGTGTGCCTGCCATTCGGCCAGACCTCAGTTGTATGACATTTTGTATTGATGTAGGATCAGCAATCTTGCCTTTCTCCCACTGTGGTCGCCAATTTGTTGATGTAATTTTTCAACAAAAATAAAGTAAAATTCAAAGATATAGAAAATATCCTTAAACTTGATTAATTAGTGCCTGAGATTAGGAATCTCTAAACACTGTATGGTACAGAAAATAAACTGGAAAATAAAAGACTGAAATTTAAAGTGGTGATCCCCAAATCTGACTTTGCTTTGTTGAAGTTGATTGAAGATGCCTTTTCTGACGGATTTGAATCCTTTAAAATAGCCTTTCAGAGAAAACGGTTTGAACCGCCGTCTGGTCGGTTACAGCAACCGCTGTCAACCGACCACCAATTTCTCCTCTATTGACACGTATTACAACTTCCTTCAACCGTTCCCACCAGTCACAGAACTCAGACCTGCCTCTTACCCGACCTGCCTGTCCACTGCCAAATTTCTTTTGCCCGACTTCGTCCTTCGCCCGACCTGCTTCTTCGCCCGACCTCACTTGGGCCGACCTCCGCATCAGCCGCCCTCCGTCTTTGACCGAAGACCTCCGCGTCTGTCCGTACCTCTTCCTTGCCCGACCTTCCTCTTGACAGACCTCCGCGTCTGCCCGACTTCGCCTTCCATCCGATCTACGGTTTACCCGACTTGGGTACACCTTTTTTTTTAGACTCCGCCCGACCTGAATACAGCCCGAACTGCTGATCACGGACAACCATCTCTTGGTAGTACCTGAGTCTGGATTTGGATCAATTCTTGAGATCTTACCTTTCTTCCTTTTCCCGACCTTTATTCTGCCCGACCTCCAGACCTTTTGGCTTTCATTCAGACCCTACCCAGAATCCTACTGCCACTTACTATTATTATTATTTTTTGTGCTTAACAATACCACTTTTAGTATTATGTGATGATGGAGGGGCTGAAACTGTATAACACCCCGAAGAAAACCTACAGCAGATCAAACCCCTCCCTTGCTTTCTTCTTTATTTTCAAAATGGGCTTTCAATTCTCTACTCAATTATACAACCTAAAAGGGTGAGTTAATCAATTAATCAATCAATCGTTGCAACCAAGCAAGCACAGGTGGAGATTATATGCCGCTGAGGAGTGTGCAAAGCATCTATCTTTTCCTCTTTAGTCCTAATCAAACAACTCTATTTAAAGAGAGCAGAGTAGAGCACTCAACAAACATGGAATCTAGCAGTGTAGCCAGCTGGGATCCACAATCTTCCGAATTGAAGATCCCACGCACAAGTGCAGACAGATGCAGAAAACCAATGAAGCAATGCCGTGCAGAGACCTCCACAAAAAAACGAAATCAGTGAGGTTTAGAAGAAAATGAAGAAGGCAAGAAGCAATCATGGATGCATCAAACATGATGGCAGTTTAGCAATCGATCATTGGGTATATAGAAGATTTTATGGAACCAGTAACTAGCAGTGATGCAAGATATGACAATTTAACAGATCAAATCGGTGCTGTCGAAATTTCTTATAAGTCAATCGTTCACATAGTAAGCAAAGATAGCAAGTATGCAAATAGCACCTACTTATGACTATTCTACAGGTTTCAACACAACCCTACTGTTGTTTATACAACTCCAGATTGAAGTCCATTACACAAGTCGGATCTACATGTGATAAAATTACACCATTAATAAATCAAACTTCACACCATCCGATAACCCAGGACATAGCAGTTTGTTTCTATTTTCCTAAATGTTTGCCCACTATGCTGGGTGACAATTTCAGCTTGTATTTAATATAAATTTCAGGTAGAAAACATATGAGAAAGCTAAGAACAGTCATTTACAAACCCAAAAGGAAAAAGGCAAGAACTTGCTTCAAAGAGACATTTTCAATGCGCACGCAACATCACAGGGCACTTAAACAATCTGCCTGCTAGTTCTCTAACACAAGAATACGTTATCCTACCGACTAATCAAGTTCTGTTTATCACACACAAGCCATACAATTCCCAATACCACATGAGAAAGAAGAAGAATATTACGACGCTCTATTTCGATTTCTCCTTACAGAGGATGCGACGAAGAACCATGGATCGATTCTCATACTACTCGAGAAAACTTAAAAACATTACCTGGACGCCGGTGCCGATTAACCTCCTCGATCCCACCTTCCCCCAGTACGTCGCGTCTTGAGTGAGAAATCGCGTCGATAAGAAGAAGAACGAGTTGTGCCCTAACTTTCTGAAATTCGCTAAGTGTGAAATCTATTCGGCACCGAGGAGGGGAAGAAGAAAGCCCGCGCGTGTGGTCCTGAAATCGTTCTTAGTTTTCCAAAAGCGCTATAGCGTTTTTACCTTTTTTAAAATCCAAAAAATCTTTTAAATTTAAAAAATAAATTTAAACACCATTTGTTACGAAGCACAATCATAACTAATGTTATTTTGAACAAAGGCTACCAACTCAGTTTTTGTTACGGATTATTTTGCGTAATTAAAGAACCTGAAACATTGACCAAGAAAATATTTTTTGGTCACGGAAGTTGTCATAACAAAAACCATTATTTGTTACGATGTTATTGTAACAAACCGTCAAGCCGTGGTGAAAGACCATTTTTTTGGTAGTGAAAGTTCTTCTGTAATCTGGATGGTGACGTTGCTGGTGGTGTTTGAGTGGGTTGAAGAGTCACTCTTGCCAATGTTTGATCCAACATAGTCTACATTAAATTATGTTGCTCTCGCGCAACATTGTCTGCATGGTCTGTGTCTGCTGATTGTTCAACTGCTGAACATAGGTCACCTAGTCAGTGGGTGCTTGGGGGAATTCCCCCGTGTTAACCACGGAAGGTAATGTTGTTTCCCCCGCCATGGTGGAAGAGACTTGAGGCTGTGAACCTGCCATATGGATCCTTCCGATGATTCGGCCGGATCTTCGTCGTATGAAATTTCCGTCTTACGTAGGATCAGCAATCTTGCCTCGTCTCCCACTGTGGTCGCCAAATTTTTTATGCTATTTTCAACAATAAAAAGTAAAATCCGAAACTAAATTCGAATTTGACTACAATAATATCTGTAACGGAAGATCCCTAGATACCGTACAAAATGTAAGAAAAATAAAAGCAACAGATACTGAAACATAAAAAGGGTGATCCCTAAAGCGTATTTCACAGAAATTGATGCTGATTGAAGATGTCCTTTGCCGGACGCGAGTTGCCTGTTATATGCCCTCCAAGTCAGTTATCGGATCGTGTGCACAGTCGGTTGTAACTGTCATGAGGAACCGTCTCATGGTTGTAACTAACAAAAACCACCTCGCGGTTGTAACTGTCTGAAGAACCGTTCTTTGGTTGCATTCAATGCTACCAACCGACAAGCCGACCAAACAGACTATGGACAGACCAGCCGACCAGACAGGCTACTAATTGACCAGCTGACTAGACGGGTTCCGGACAAACTAGCCGACCAGATGGGTTTCTGATTGACCAGCCGACCAGACAAGCTACCGACTGGCCAGCCAACCAGGCGGGCTACCGACTGACCAACCGACCAACCAAGCTACCGACTGGCTTACCGTTTCCCTCAATGGGTGTTTGAAAACCCACTTTCTTTTTGGATTTATCCGCGAGCCCAAACGTTAGAATCCATCTATAGGCCCAATAAAACCCTAAATATTTTAATATATAACAATACCAAAATCAAGATCAATTGATATTTTGGTATAGACAAGATCAATGTTTCTAAGAGCAAAAGGAACAGCACACCGATCATACATCTACTTTCATTCAATAGAACTTCCCTGAAAAATATAAAAGACGTTCAAGTGGCAAACAAATAAGTACTTCTGAAATCAAGAACTTGTGATATTTGTATAAATTAACTAATTATTGGATAAAAGAACCAAGATCAAATACAACAGAGTCAACCAAAAAGAATGGAGAAGAATATCAATGTATCTATATAGGTATCGCATGTTTCCAAAGTAAATTTGGAAATGCAGGGGAAGCATTGTAATGTATTATTGCTTATAAACACAAGAGCAGCCGCAATGAGGACAAGAATACAAGTAAAACATGAAAGAGTTCAGTAATAAATGCAAGCAAATAAAGAAAAGATCATTATACCTTTTAAAGCTCTGGAAAAACTTGGGGATGGATGTACTTACCAGCATTATTTCCGAAGAGATTCCGGTGGCCTTGCCGGAGCTACCTTCGTGCGGAACCGTGAAGGCCCTCTTCCAGCGACGGCTGATTCCATCTTTGAGAGAAAGGTAGCAACTTCGAAGGAGAATGGTAGAGGGGAAGGAGAAGAAGAAATTCGAAAAAAAGAAAGGGAGAAAAGGGAGGAGAAAAAAGAAAGGGGTGAAGGACGGCGGCGGGTAGGGTTTCTATGTTTTGCAGAGGCGCAGGTTTTTGAATTTTTATTTTAGTTTTTTTTTATTTTAAAATACAATAATATAATTATTCTTTTAATTTTTATTTATAAATATAATAGTATTGGCCTTGTTATGGTTTGAACTATACGACAAATACATATCTTATTATGGATAAATTACATAAACAAATAATAATTTTTTTAAAAAAAATTTAAAATAATTTTATGTAGATTTTTTAACTTTTAATTATAATATTAATTTTTTGTTACGGTTGAAGTTACGAAACAAATGTATATAGGAGAATACTTCGCCTCTATATGTAATTGTTACGTATATATTACCGAAATAAATAATTTTATTGTTAAATTTTAAAATAATTATATATATATATTTTTTATATAAAAGTATAAGATTTAAATATATTTTTTTTGTTACGGTTTAAATTGCGTAACAAATATATATAGAATGATATCACGAGTCCAATGGTATTGTTAAAGATAAATTTCCGAAAAAAATACATAAAAACGTTGACAATTAATAGAAACTTTTTGTTCCGAAAAGTTTCATGACAAGAACTTCATTTTGTGACATACTTTTTTTTACGAACAATATACCGCTACAAAAAGCCAATTTTTTGGTAGTGTGTTGGACCCAAGTCCAAGTCACTCGAAATATGGAAGGCACCCACCGAAAGTTCATCCAAAAGCAGTGCCTCCATTAAGCCAAAAAAACACCTGCCTCCACAGAGCTAGAAGCTATAGCTTCCACCGGACTACGGTGCCTCTACAAAGCAAAAGAATATTGCCTCCACAGTAGCGAAGCAGCTGATTCCAGAGGTCTTGGGGCAGCAACCTCCCTTACTCCCATAGCAACAAAATCTTTGGATTATGGTGCCTTCATTCTGGAATACTGCTTCCACGAGGTCAAGGACAGTTGCCTCCGCAGAACCACGAACAACATCTCCATTGGCCTTGGGTTAGCAATTTCATGCTGAACATCAATGGAAGATCCATGCACCTTAATGTTTTATTCGAAAAACTCCATGGACCAAGCTGAAAAGAGAAAAACCGATGACTTCGTAAAACTCAAGGTTGTTGGGGACAAAACCCCCGTAAACGGGCTAAGGTTGTAATGGAGACACTCGGGGTAAGCTATAGATCTATGCAAGGGCAGTGGAGGCGGTTCAGCATGAGTGGGGAGTTGATTCAGATGTAATGAAGGCAGCTCAAAGCATATACACAGGTTGGGAGCTAAGAAGAGGAAGTTATCAAACAGTTGGAGGTAGTGGAAGGAATAATGAAAACTACCTTTTTAGTATAAGATGCGGTTACTTGATCTTATGATTAAAACTAGTAAAAAAACATAACACACACAAGCACAAGAAGAACAATTCGAATATTTCTCTACTTTTTTCATATTTTTAGTTTCCGTTTATGCATTTTAATTTGAATTAAATGTTTTTATGTTCCTTCAATTTGTTTTCTTGTTTTCCATAGATCAGTTTGGTTTAGTTCGATCACTCGCATGAGATCTTAGTGACCCGACGACGGATTGGCTCTTTGGAGTACTTCTGGAACCCACACTGATGAATCGATGAACGATTTTGGAGTATCTGAATTTTAGACTCCAAAAATTGGCACGCCCAGTGGGACCAAGTCGAGTTCGTGTATGCAACTTCATAGTGGTAAGGTGATAAACATGGCAAATTAGAATCAAAACTCAGGTTTGAATGCAGTTACAGGAAACACTGGATCAGGAACACCAGTTCACCCTAGTGGAAGCCGTACTCCTAGATTAAGGAGGGGTGAGGAATCATCATCTGCTGAGATGATGGTGGAGATGGTGCACAGGGAGGTAAATCATTGCATTCAACCTGGAATTGGAGACATAGCATAAAAAATTTCTCGGCAATTGGCTGATGTGATTAGGTTGACTGTAAGGAATTAGGCTTTCCAAATCCGAGAAGAGAAACGACGAGCAACGGCCATTGTTGGACATAATTTTGGAACATTAGGAACAACATATGGGGTCCTCGAGGAATGGTACCATCCGGTGGAGGGAACCCATCTCCCATAGAGAGCTTCGGTTTACGCTCGGGTCGTGGGATTACTGGATCACCTAGAGGGCCTATAAGAGGAACAAGATTGTAGTTTGGCAACGTAAGTATACTTTTCCGTCCTCAAGGAGGCCAGAATGGCGCTATCCACGGTCCTCAGGTTATGGGAGGATCATATTTTGTTGGAAGTGGTGTTTATGAAGCTCCCTAGGGGGCAACGCCGCAGGGTCAACCTGCGGGACAAGCTACTTGGAATGCTCCACCACAACCTTGTTAGGATATGATTTAGATATTATATCCTAAATTTAAAGATATGGTTTGGATATTATTGGCATAGGCTTAGGCTATAAGTATTCATGTACTCTCACTTTAGCATGTGTCTGCGTATTCTATAGTAAAATTCCTGGTTTGGCAGCGCCCCCAGACGTAGATCATCGTGATCGAACTGGATTACCAAATTCTTGTGTTCTTGTATCATTGTTTATCACTTCTTGATTTCTTGGAATTTCCATAACAAGTGGTATCAGAGCCTAGTTCATCGGTAGGGTGGACTGGGAGGCATCGGATATTGATTATGGCTGTGGGAATCCCTTGTGACCTGCGGAGGTTCTTTGTGTCAAAAGTCTCCTAGTGGTATTGGGTCGGTCCCGACAGTTGTGGTAAGTCAGGCAGCGGGTCCGATATGGATGAAGCCGAATACAAGAAGATCGACAGGAAAATGATGGGTGCGGTTCAACTAACCCTTTGGGAGAATGTCTCAACTGAATTAGATCTGAGGCAAAGGGAAAGGGTGAAGATTAAGAATGGTCAAAGTTGAAGCCGAAGAACAAGGACAAGGAAGATGAAAGCCAGGTGGTATGTTGGAACTGCAAGAGGCACTTGAAATGACAGTGTAGGGTGCTGAAGAAGGATCAGGGTTCAGAAAATGCAGCAAATGAAATATCCGATGCGCTGATTCTGAGGGTCAGCAGTCCAATGGACTCATGGATTTTGGCATCAGGAGCATCATTCCACTCATGCAGTGATTTGGAAATGATGGAATCCTATACCGTAGGTAATTTTGGTGTTGTTTATCTTGCAGATGATGAGACACTGAAAATTGTAGGTAAATGAATTATTCGAATCAAAACACCCAATGGTGGGGAGTGGAGACTGAATGACGTGAGCAATGTCCCGGGTCTGAAATGGAATATGATTTCCATTGAACAATTGGATGAGGCAAGTTACTCGATAGTTTTTAAAACTAAGTCGTGGAAGTTAACCTAAGGATCCATTGTGGTGGCTCAACGGAGAAAAGATGGCACTGTTTACATGACGAACATCATGAGAGATGGAATTGGTTCTGTGGTTATAAATAATGATGCAAACTTATGGCATTCTTGTCTCGGACCCATGAGCGAGAAAGGGATAAGGGAGCTTGATTCAAAGGGAAGATTGCTAGGGCTCAAGTCCATCGATATTGGAGTATGCGATGACTGTATCTTTGGGAAGCAGAGAAAGGTGTCATTCTCAAAGGGTGGGAGGGACCTAAAAAATGAGAAATTGAAGTTGGTCCATATGGACTTGTGGGGACCAGCTCTTGTATCATCCTTGGAGGCTCACAATACTACATTACATCACGTTCATTGATGACGTTACAAGGAAGGTATGTGTATATTCCCTTAAGCGTAAATCTGATGCTTTGGAAACTTTCAGAAAGTGGAAAGCAGTTGTGGAGAATTAAACGGGCTAAAAGTCAAGTGTCTAAGGTCGGATAATGGTGGCGAGTACGAGTTGAACGAGTGTAAGGAGTACTACACTAAGAATGGCATCCGAATGGAAAAAACAATACCTAGAACACCGCAGAAAAATGGTGTAGCTGAAAGGATGAATCGGACATTGAATGAGAGGGCTAGATGCATGCATTTAAAGTGTGGTTTGCCAAAGACATTTTGGGCTGATTCAATCAACACTGCAGCATTCGTGATAAATAGAGGTCCATCAATGCCGTTAAATAATGAGATCCCAGATGAGGGGTGGATATGTAAACCAGTAAATCTCTTATTTTTGCATATTTTTGGTTGCACTGCATATGTCAAGGTTGATGCTGCGACGAAACTAAATGCAAAATCAGTAAAGTGCATGTTTATCGGTCATGGTGGTGATCACTTTTGATATTGACTTTGGGATGAAGCTAATCGCAAGATCATTCGTGTCCATGATGTTATCTTTGATGAGTAGATCTTGTATAAGAACAAGTCGAGTGACGATGGTAAAAGGAATCAAGAGATGATTGAGTTAGATACTTTCAATACGAGTCCAAGCAGTGAAGCTTGGGATAATCATAGTGAAGCTGATGTTGACGTGAAGCCGCCTAACCCCGTTACTGAAAATGTTGTAATCCCGATAGAAGTTGATATAAACACACCAATAGCCCTTAGAAGATCCGTGAGACAACATATTGTGCTAGAGAGGTACTTTCCCACTCTTCATTATCTACTTTTGATAGACGGTGGCAAACCAGAATGCTATGCAGAGGCTAAAGCTAGCCAGGAAGCTGAGAAGTGGAAACTTGCTATGGATGATGAGATGAACTCTCTCATGACCAAGCAAACATGGGAGTTGAGTGAACTTCCAAAAGGCAAGAAAGCACTGCATAACAAGTGGGTCTATAGAATCAAAGACGAAGCAGATGGGAGTAAGTGATAAAAGGCCAGACTGGTAGCGAAGGGATATGAACAACGATATAGCATCGACTACACTGATGTGTTCACTCTTGTTGTGAAGCTGACAACAATCCAATTGGTCTTGGGTATGGTAGCATCTGTAAACTTTGTGCTGGAACAGTTAGATGTCAAGACAGCTTTCCTTTATGGCAACTTGGATGAGTAAATCTACATGATGCAGCCCGAAGGATATGCAGTTGAAGAACAAGGAAATCTGGTATGCAA